ATTTTTTTTGTGATGAATTTTGAGGAAGAGACGATTTTTTGGGGTGTTTGCGGATGAGGAGAAGAGAGAAAGAGAGAGGCGGCGGCGGTTTCGTGGGCATCATTTTGTAGTAGTGGGCCGAATCAATATTACACAGGTATTATAATACATGCGCACAATATAATGTGGAGCACGGAGGCGGCCTTTGCCAACACACCTTTTGTTTTTATTTTTGTTTTTTTGTTTCACGATTCGTTGTCATTTGTTAAACTTTTTCGTTGTCTTAGCGACACAAATTGCGTTATTATCGCTTTGCAACTCTCGAATTAGTTTCAGATAAATCTAATCCGCTAACACACTGGAACTGCGCAATATATTAATTAAAGTGTTCTCGGTGGTTGAGGAAACCTACCTCCATCCCCAGATCCCTCCTGCATCCCTTAACCAAGGCAACGGCATTCCATCACACGCTGCTGCCAACCGAAAACAAAAACGGAAATCCCTTAATTAAATTAATTGCAAGAACAATCTAGGGGGGCTGTGAAGGAGGAGAAAGGAAACAACGTTGATTTAAGCGCATTACTTCTTGTCGCTTTACGCCCATATCGAGAACGCCAGAGCCAAAAACACACACATACAACCTAAAACGAAAATAATTTCAGAGGGAGAGAGAGAGAACGAAATGAAATTGGATATAGTAATTAGTTTCGCTGGATTCGAGCGGAGATTAATAACTCCCTATTAATTTCAACGCAATCGATTTCATTCATTTGTTGTTTCTAACGAGTAAATAATTCGCTAATGACAGTTAACGAATCTGGTGATGTTAATTTATTTAAGTTTGTTAACTGCAGCTGTCAATAAGTACCAAAAAATAATTAATAACATCTGACAGTGACAACTAATAGTGTTTTTTTTTTCAAATAATTACTGTCATAACCTGCTTATCGAGTAAATGCAATGAATTTCAATTTTGATAAGATGTGATCAATAATACGTTTTAGTCTTTATTGATCTAATAGTAAATAATTCATTAATTACCATTGGTAAATCTAGTTTGACAAACAATTGACAGCATCTGTCATTTTTGTGACAGCCGATTGAAAGGTTAACACACTAATATCATTCATCTTTTGTTGTTTTCATAACCAAGAATTAAATTCGTAATTACAGTTTGCAAAGTTTGGTGACAGAAATTTATTCATGTTTCTCTATCTGTCAATCAAAATTGTTCTTGTAAATCAATTGCATATTGTTTAGCAATTCATAAAATCTCACAAACAATTGACAGCATCTGTCATTTTTGTGACAGCTTATTGAAAGGTTAACGCACTAATATCATTCATCTTTTGTTGTTTTCACAACTAAGAATTAAATTCGTAATTACAGTTTGCGAGTTTGTTGACAGAAATTTATTCATGTTTCTCTATTTGTCAATCCAAATTGTTCTTGTAAATCAAGTACAATTTCATATTATTTAAGCAATTCATAAAATCTCATCATAAAATCTGTCATTTGTATAATTTGTGACATTTTTAAATCCTATAAACTTTACATCTGTATCAACAACAATAACTAAAATTTCAATAAAAGTACAGACATACCTCGCATAGTGCGGCTTCATTATAGTGCGGTTTTGAATATGTCAAAACGAAATTAGTTTTTTTTTACTCTTTGACAATAATTGAAGAAACGTAGATTTGCTTATTAAACTGTAAACATAAGAAATTGATACATAACAGTAGAATGATACATACGTAATTCATCAGTGACAGTTAGTACTATAGCTGTCAGTTAAAACACTAAATAGAAAATTGATGGTTCTGACAAACATTTGACAGGATCTGTCATGAGTAAATATTACATTTTTATCAAAAAACTAATTCATATATTGATTTCGTAAATGAAAGTTGATCTAAAATGAATAATTTGAATGAAAATGTTCAAATATAATATATAAATATCTAATTAACATTTAAGTACGTTAATAATCCTTAATGAAATAAATTTGTAGCTTTAAAGGTTTAAAGTTGAGATAGAAAAATGTTAAAACTATATTAAAGTAATTTAAATAAATTGAAGTAATTAATAATATTATAATTAAATTTACATTTTGTTAAGTAATTAAGTGAACATTTAAATGGAAAAACAACATTTTGAATGCATCAACTAAAAATCTGTTTTAAGGAAGTTGAATAATTTCAAATTCTCTTATAAAATAACGAATGAGTTTGTAAAAAAAAAATTGTTATCAAAACTGTTGCAAGAAACGTAAAGATACTATTACTTTAGATCGTATTTGAAAGTAGGCAAAAGCAGAGATTAAATATGGCAGATTGGAATTTAATCCGGCGTAAACAAGTCGAAGAAGAAGGAGAGAAGCAGATGGGATGAGAAAGAGGAAGGAAAATGCAATTTGCCAGTCGAGAAATTCATTAAGGGCATAAAAACTAAAAACTAAAACCGTTTTCAAAGGACGCTGCAGAGCGCACAGGTGAACAAACATATACCTTTTTTTTGATTTTTAAATAATCAAAGTAATAATTAATATTCGGATCTGAAAATTGCAATAATTCCGTTGTGCATAAATTGATGTGTGAATAATAGATCCTTGGAACAGTAGAGGATTACAAACGATCAGAGACATGCGCTTATTTAATTAATTTCACTAATCCGTTCTTTTTCTATGTCCTTCTCTTCATCTTCATCAAGCCATCTTCCAGTAGATAACAGAACTATAGCCAATGAAATGTTAACTTATAATAATTATTGCTGGGAATAATATATAAAAAGATATGAAGAATTTCATTTAAAATAGATTTTATTTATTAAAAACATAGAAAATACAATAGAAACCTTTATAAATATCTTTAAAAACATGTTTCAATTATTTTATATACAATATTATTATAACATTACCAAAACACAATACCTCATAAATATCTTTGAATCTCATTCATTTTACGTTTCTTATACATTCTGTGCTCGTTGGCACATTTATGCGTGATTACGTGGCGAATCAAAGAAATCTCTTTGACCTTGCATTTCTTTGCAACTGTGAAAACTACATCATCT